CTGGTCAAGATGAGGTCCTCTAAGAAGTCTGGTAAGCATAGGAGCTCGTTTTCCCAGTATAGCAAGGCTGCAAAAGTCGTGGCAGCCATTTTGTTTGGGGGTGAATCCTACTTATGTAACATGCACAGAACATTCTAGACTGACCACATGTATTATACTGTATATAGTTTATTGTTCTTTTGTTCTGTTCACTTCTTTGTTATGGTTCTCTCTCTCTCTCGCTCTTTTTTGCTCTCTTAGTTTATCTTATGTAATTATCACTTGTCAAGTCAAGTGTGGAGAGTTTTTTGTTGTTTCAATAATTACCAGTTTATATAAAAAAATTCATCACTTCAAATTTGTAGTTATAATTGTTGAAAGGAAAGTACAGTACATGTAGTTTAATAGGTATTTCTGTTGAATTTACATGTAAATTGTCAAAAATTTTAAAGTACATAATACACATTCACTGTACATGTACATACTCACATGAATTGTAATATTTGGATCAGCTTCTTCACTTAATAACTGTGCAATCTTATCATGTCCTTCGTTTGTAGCTGCAACCAGAGCATTTTCTCCTGACTATAAAAATAGAAAGTAACTTTCTTAATAAAACTCTGTGACAAGTACCACCTTTTAACCAGAGTTTACATGCAACATTTATTGAGACTAAAAGTCCTGTATAATTAACACGAGAACTCCATTCTTGCATTTATCATTGCATTATAAAGCACTTCTGGTCACAAAAACATCTTTAGGATTTGTTTTTAAAAAATTTACTATTATGTTGTAAATGTAATGCTACAGTACTATCATTTCTTATTTTCCACTGATCCTTTACACAAGATACATGTGATACCATAGTTAGTACTTTTACAAACATTAATTTTTAATATTTTAACAGCAGGTGTACAAAATTAAAACCCTTCCCACCCAAGCATACAAAACTAAGTAATATGGTCCATGCAGGGCTACATTTCAAGCCAATGGAGAAGTTAAATCTGGTATCTTTATGTCAAAAAATTAAAGTAAGTACATGTATAATCAAGTGTACTCACTGTATTAATGAGGTTCACAACAGCTCTTGCAGACAATAAAATTTTTACAATATCATGATATCCTCCTCTTGCAGCAACATGAAGAGAAGTAGCTCCATCCTATAAGAAACACAAGAAAACATTTGTACATAATACAGCATCTATAATAATAATGCAGTGCATGTACATGTACATGTATAATTATACATGCGTACAATACACATGTTCTTCAGCATACAGACGACTGAAAAGTACGTAGATATACATGTACATGTACAATGTAACAACACACAAACAAAAATATTCCTATAATTGATTTCCCCACCTTGCATGCATAGCTGGACACTTATTAAGACTTATAGAGCTTCTCTTTACTTTCAAATGCTTCTAGAGAAGTCTTTAGACAGTATCTCTATGTTCTCTTGTTAGAAAGCTCACAACTCTGTCCCACGTGTAAACCACTATTTTGCTTGCCGTGGCCATACCCACTCACGTAAAGGAGCGTGGGCAGGTGGTTGCTAAGGCTTGTTCTTTCTCCAATACAATGTGTATAGAAGAAATGTAAGTGTGGACATACAAATACATAAATATATATAGATAGCACGGCGGTGAAATCAATTGTAGGAACGACCTGGGGACAAAGCCCTCAGGTCGTAAAAATATGTTGGGACAAAGAAGCGTGTATAGTTACCTCTTTAGGATTCTGATAGTTTACATTAGCTCCTTGAGACAGTGCAGAATGGACACCAGTAGAATCACCCCTTGCAGCAGCTTCATATAATTTATCATTCTACATGCATAATAGAACATACATGTACTAAATACTACTACAATGTACATGTACATGCATGTAAGCAGTATACATTTTGTACATGATACAAAAGTCATAATATATTGAACACATAGATGTACATGTACATTGTACAAACTACAGTACTCATTCACATTAAAACAAAAAAACTCGGTTGAGATATACATGTAATAAAAACAGTGGAAGCCAAGGAAATCGACAGCCTATTGATCAAAATTATGTACATGTACATGTACATGTATATATAAAGGACCATATACCGTATGGCTAGTAAATTTCGAGGGTATAAAATTCCGTTTTTTAGTGAAAAGCTTTTAATTCTTTAATTTCGAGGTGGTTAAATTTTGCGTTTTTGGACGTGCACTTGCACTAAGTCATTAATTTTCACATGCTGCGCATGTGCAGTGAGCGTTTCCATGGTATTAATTTTCGTGGTTATGAAGTTACCCACGAAATCCACGAAATTAAATACCCCACAGAATTTTCTAGCAGTACGATATTGCTCTTTCATTCAAATGAATACATGGTTCTTTATTACTACATGTACATGTATGAAGCTGCCATGATGTAATTACATGCACATACTCACATGAGTTGTAATATCCGGATCATCTTCTTCACTTAATAACTGTACAATCTTTTCATGTCCTCCTCTTGCTGCTACAACTAGAGTAGTTTCTCCTGACTATAGAAATAAGACAAAAATTAACTTTTTGGAATAGAACTCCGTAATGCAACTATCATTTTTTATTTCTTGCTAATCCCATACAAAGATAATAACTAAAAATAACAAGGGTGGTGTAAAAATTCCTTAATATTGTATGACTTCATAACTTTGCATGCATTTTTACACTAAAGCTGGAGCTATTGATTTAGAAATTTTGAATGGATTCCAATTAAAAGTAGATTTTTGTAATTTTTTATTTGCTCAAAAATCTGATCAGAGCCATGTACTATATATACATGTAGTACAGGGTCTTGTCCAAATTTCAGCATAATTGAAAATGAGAGAATTCTAAAATTTCCCAATTTATTCTGATACATATGCATGTTCTTGCTGTGTTGCATAGAAATTTTGAGTTACAATCAAAGATGCATTTCTATCAATTATTCTTAAAGTTGCTCAAAAACTGGCACAAATACCCTATACTATAGTATAGGGTATTTCGACCAGTTTTATGAAGGAATGGTCAAATTTTGAAAATATTGCTTAGAAAGATATTTCCACTTTTATAATTTAAAAAAATACATACTGTATACATGTACTCATATTGTGTAGAAAGTTTCAGCTGATTCCAATCAAACTTGTATCTTTACAAATTATTTTTAAAGTTGCTCCAAACGGAAAATTCAGAATGACCTGTGGCCTTTTCTACCATGCAGGTTGTAAAACTTGCTGTTGACAGTGAACAATTAAAATCTCTCAGCCTCAAATAAAACCATTGTGCACTAATTCAAGCAAGGCGTCTTAAAATGCTAAATTTGAAGTGGGACATAAACAACACACACACAAAAACATAAAAAAACTGACCCCCTACATCAAAAGTCAAAATCAGTATAACGTACATGTAGATGTGTATACTTAAGCTATTTTCCATTCTTCCAAAGAAAGTATCAGAATTTCATGTAGGTATATTGTAATTATACTTACAAAATTTGAAGCATTACGATGAGCTCCATTATTTAACAATAATTCTATAACATCACAGTTTCCTTCTCTTGCTGATTCAATAAGAGCAGTATTTCCTTCCTATAAAAAACAAGATAATAAATAGTCAGTCAGTCACAAAATAAATTAATACAGCAAATTGTTATTGTAGCAGTGCCATATCTTTTTTCATTCATAATTTGAAAGTTGCTGTGCATGTACATGTAATAAAATTAGGTGCTACAAGTGGGTATGCCTGTGCAAGAAAAAAATGTATACTGTGAAATTTTGTGTCACTTTTATTTTTGAATTTTTTGTTTCAACTGGCAAAATTGCATTTTCAGACCACCTGGTGCAATCAGCAAACTACATGTACATACAAGACACCAAAGGTGCATGGCCACGCCCCTATAAATGTCAGGGATCAGAGGTGTTGCCGTGACATTGTTCATTTAGAATTAAAATTTGAATGATGGGACTGGTACTGCATGGCAGTAAAAGTCCCTCCAAAAATTAGGGTTAAGCATAGACTTTACATGTACCACATCCTTTTCAAGATTTGTCTTTTTATGCACAATTTTTTGGAAATAGCATCGTGGGTTTGAAACTATAGCTTTTGATGTTGTTATTATCAAAGATACACTAACCATAACAGCTGGATCAACATTAGTTATATACTTTAAATTAATAACCAGTACACACAAAAAATGATGTGTTAGAGCTAGCCCAAGCCAGTATATTGAAATGATAGACTTGTAGATCAAAAGTGACAGCCTGACTAGGCAAGTGTGAAAAGTATGATGGGACTCTGGAGTCCTTCCAAAAATTGGTAAAATGTATTGATAAATTCCTATTAGCATCTCAAGATCTATCACTTATTTATTTATACACTATATTTATACTTAGTGCACTCTCATTTCAAAAACAACATTATGGGTTTCAAAACCACAGCTTTTGTGGCCACTATCTATCAAAAGCATACTATGCAAAAATTTAGAAAGTGTGCTCTTGAGGCCAAGGGATTATCATAACAGCTAGCTTCCTAGTAGCTTCCTAGCTGCAGTTACACTTGCTCTTGCATGCTTGCAGAAGTGGCAAGCTGCTCCAGGGCCCAGGCTCCAGCATCCACCTTGGAGGCGTGGCATTAATTAATTATCAATAATGCAGTAAGACCATGTGAGTAGGAAGCTTCAGAGTTTTTTCTCTTCTTCTAAGCGTTATATGATGTTATAATGGCACAAATACTGTTGCCCAGATAGATTGAGTGACTTAAGAGAGTTTAGGATCCTTAGACTAGTGAACTACACTTCCCTCGGGATCACATTCGAGCAGCTATAACTCACCAACAAGAAAGATTTAAAGAGTCCCACACATATTAAATGAATAACTAGTCTTGATCTACTGGGAAAGAGTCTCATTTACCTCCAGAGTACTACCGCTATTGCTGGGCATTTTCTCGTGAGATAAAAAGCTTGTACTACCTAGAGCTGCTCTCTAAGCATCTCGAAGCACTAAAGCAAGACTTTTCCTAACAAAAGAAAAGTTCTCACAGATTTAGAGTGCGTGATTGTAAAGATATACATTCTCAAAGACAAAATATAGCACACAGAATGAATGAATAACAGACAGACAAACTGAGTACCTAGTCCTCGCCTACGCAAAGCTGGGCGAGGCCAATGATATACATGTACCGTATTTTACCGTATAAACGCCTGGTCCAAATAAACGCCTGTCATTAATATATTCTAGCTATAGATACGCATATTTGTATGAAAAGTAATGCTCCACTGTTTAGATAGCTCCAAAGTACTTAAAAGTTAGAACCTGGTCTAACTTTCCTGGAGTTGGGGGTTCGATTCCCGCTCAGGGTCACTTTTTTATTTTTTTTTCAACGAATTTTTTTGCTGCTAAGAAATAAACGTCTGGGCGTTTAATCGGTAAAATACGGTATATTACAAAAATTGATTTATCAAAACAAAAGTTTAGCAACACAAACTTTTTCATTTTTCATTGTATACAAAGTTTAACAAACAAGTAAAATCGTACTATAATCATTAGTCAATAATTTCTTA